TTATATATTGTATGTTGCCATTTGGCAACAAAAAAATAAACACAAAAAATTAACCACATCGACGCACTGTTGCCAATTGGCAACATACCATTTTTTTCGTATGTCATCCACCTATGATGACAAATATCAAACATAAGCTCATTTAATATCAGTTCAAACATTAAATTTAACATTCTTTATTTTTTATAACAGGAATTATCATTATGTGATATAAAAAAACAGCTTGTACTTACTGGATTCGGCGGAAAAAATTGTAGTCAACTGTGACCGTCTAAAATGTGTTCTTACATAAAAACTGCAAAGCGAAAGTGAAGAGTTCTTCAGGATAAAAGTTTGAAACCTCATAATTGAAAAGGGGAACCACTCCAACAAATTAAAAATTGGGCTTGCAGTACTAGCAGTAGTGTAATTTCGCTTTGTTGCCAAATGGCAACATTGCGTAATAGAGGGTTAACAATGTGCATAGTAAGCACCAAAAATGTATCGGTTTGAACTATATACAGTGGGCGCCATTTCTTCAAATTTATTGCAATCCCATTTGTCCACTAAATCAGTGATCAGAATAGCCGCGTCTACCTTTTGTTCAAGACTAAGCCAATGTTAAACACTTGGCCAACGATGCGAAAAAGAAAAAAACAACAACAACAAAACAACTTCCTTTTCATTTGGATACGTGGATACCAAAAATCACAACAAACCGTGTTATTGGAATAAATGTTTTTTTTTTGTTAACGATTTCTTCAATGAGTGCGTGTTTTGATTGGTGTGTTGAACTCCATGAAAAGGCTAGAGGTGACATAATGCGACCTTTCACCTCTGTGGGTCGCGAGTGTTCTAAGTCGGTGGGGTGGGGAGGGGGAGGGGTAGACGTTTTAGGAGGGATTTCGTTGTGGTGTTTGCTTTTTAAACTATGGTTATGCTGTTGATCATGGGGGAAGGGTATGCAGGGGAAATATTTCAAATGTACACATCTTTAAGGAAATTGAAAGGAGGGATACACCACCCAATCAAATACATCTACAGATAAAGGCAAATTATGGCTGCCTACAATTGCAGCGTGTTTAATTTTTTTTTAAATTTTGTTCCCCCCCCCCCTTTATCGTAGCTCTAAAGTGGGGGAGGGGGGCAGTGGCGTAGTGAGGGTGTTTGGCGCCCGTAGACAAGATTAGCCCCCGGGGACAAGATCCATTTTAAAGCGCCCCCTTTTCTTTTTTTCAACTCTCAAACCCATTATTTTTACCAATAATATGATATCAAATCACATTTTGGCGCCCCAACTAGCTTGCGCCCGGAGACATCGGTCCCCCCCTGCCCCCCATCGCTACGCCTCTGGGGGAGGGGGACATTTTTTTTTTCTTGCTGAAGAAAATATTGGTTGTTAGAATTAACACCAGTGTGTTAAATTAAAATGTCAATATTGTGTTATTGAATAGCATTAATATATGAACCATAATTAAGGGCTGTTACATATACCACGACTTATTTATAGTTTACATATACCACTTTTTTATAGTGTACACATACCACTTATTGATAGTTTACACTTACCACTTAATTATAGTTTACATATAAAATTTATTTAATTTTTACATATACCATTTATTCATAGTGTACATATACCACTTTATAAACTATGCTGTAGACATACCACTTATTTATAGAGTGCATATACCACTTATTTATAGTTAACATATACCATTTATTTATAGTGTAAATAACCACTTATTTATAGTGTAAATGTACCACTTATTTGTAGTGTACATAAACCAAATATTTATTCGTTAAGATTCTCGTACCACTAGAGCAAGTAAACCTACCGGACACTGTACAATATTTTATAACAAAACGTGACACAACAGGAAGTAGATTCGTGCAGAGCCACGGTTGAGCCACCTTTCTCCTCTTCCAACATTAGGAGTGCAACGTCCTGAGCCAACGCGCGTTCCGTGCAACCCCTTTGGAACCGAGGTGGGGCACAGAGCAGTGGGGCACAGAGCAGTGGGGCACAGAGCAGTGGGGCACAGAGCAGTGGGGCACAGAGCAGTGGGGCACAGAGCAGTGTGCCCTGTATCACCACGACAAAGCTCAAGCATATTATCGATTGAAGGGGGGGGGGACATGTTTTGGAAAAATACTTGTTTATGAACTTAACCCCTCTTCCTTTTTCAGAGGCCAAAGGTCGTGATCCCCCGCAGTGGGCAGCATTTCCTAAATGATCCATCTTTTCAATTCATCAATTATCTTTTTATCTTCTCCCAGTGCGTACCGGAGACATCTGTCCCCCCCCCCTGCCCCCCATCGCTACGCCTCTGACTTCAAAAAAAAATTCGATTTAATTTTATATTCTATAACTTATTCTTTAAACTGTTTAAGAATCTGTATTTGTTGACAAAATTCGTAAGGATGTATTCTTTTGGTTTGATATTCAGAACACCCTCAAAGATCGTGCTGAGCATAACTGAAAGTTCACAATACCATCAACAATGTCTCAAGACATGAAAGCCGCCAGAAGACGTTGGGAAATCCCCATCTCCAAGATGGCAGACAAAACGTTCAACCCGATTCGAAGTGTAGTGGACACCATGACGATCGAACCCCACCCAGACAAAACTATGATTACTTTGTCTTTAGGTGAAACCATCTCACAACAGATTGAAACTACTCATTTAAAAAAAAAAATGTTTTATTTTCTATTATTATTATTATTTGCATTTTGCTTAACTGAGCGGTTCTCAACCTGTGGGTCGCGGGTCGAGCGAACCTTACACAGGGGTTGCCTAAGACAATCGGAAAACACATATTTATGAAGTAGCAACGAAAATAATATTTTTTTTTGGGGGGGGGGGGCAACAAAACATGAGGAACTGTATTAAAGGGTCGGGGCATTAGAAAGGTTGAGAACCACTGGCTTAACTGATTGATT